CCCCCCCTCCGCCGCCTAATAAACGATAGCTCGTTAACCGCCTCGGAACTGGCAGCTTTAGCTCTGCGCGTGACGGCGCGGCCCCGCTGTGTCCCTGGCTGACAGGTTCCTTTGTGGGCCTGACGCGAAGCTCCCGCGCCCTGCCTGAGCCTCAGGTTTGTTCCGAGCCTGCTGCGAGGCCGACGGCTTTCGGCTGTGTGGTGACAGCGATCTTGTCTTCGGGCCGTTAAATGGGGATCATTAGAGCCTCTAAAACCCAACAAATTGCAGCGGAAGCTGTGATTATTTCAGAGGTGTCATCTGCTGCTTGGGGGGGCTGGATGTAACGTGTAATTTTTGGTAGGGTGCTGAGACCTAGGCAAGTGGCAAGCTGTCCCCGGCCTGCCTGCTTCGGTTCCTCGGTGCTGCGAGGAAGATGGAGGGGCTGGCTGCGGGCCGCCTGCCTTCCCCAGGCTGCTCGCGGCGCTCCCCACCCACCCATCGGGGCTCTTTTTTTGGGAGCGTGCTCCCAGCACAGCGTGGTGGGGATGGTGGCCTTGCAGCTTGTGATGCTGAGGGACCGAAAGAGAGAACCTCTTGCTGATGAACAACTAAAATATTGTTTATTTTTCTGACTTCTCTGTCACCTTTCTGTGTTTTGGGGAGGGTAGAGGGTTGTCCCTCAGGATGAGACAAGGTGTCCGTGGAGGCTGTTGCTCAGGAGGTGTTTAAGCAGGGAGCGTGTGTTTTCCTTCCCTTCTCGAGTAAATCTGAATTTATGAACCTGTAGGCTGTCTTACCTTACGCTGATAGTAAAAAAGATGAAACGGAGCCAGTAATCTCACCGATGCTTTGATTTTTTCGAGTCAGGTTGCTTACTCCTCACTTGGGTAGCGTCCAAATTGTGTCACTCGGCCTCAGCCGCGCTTGCAACTGGAGCTCCCGGGAGGGCTGGGGACAACATGCACGACGGCCAGCAAGTATTTTCTGGAAGACAACAAAACCTGGGGGGACTGGAGGTGGCCCTGGGTGGGTGTGCACGGAGGCACAGCCTCACCCACGGGTGGGGTGGGCTGTGCTGTGCTGCAGGGCTCGGGTCGGTGCCGCCGGCTGGCGGAGCACGTCGACGTGCTCTGTGGTCCTCGCTGCAGCAGATGGGAACGCTGTACGCCAGAGCCGTGTGCCCGGGAGCAGAGGGGGTTTGTGCTGGACGCTGTCCTCTTCTGTTGACTGTTTCAAAGCTGATGGCAACAAACCCAATTTAGCATGTGCAGCGCTGATGCCGTCGCTGCTGTTGGGAGCAGCGATGGAGGTGGTGAAGTGCTCGTGACCCACCTATACAGGTGCTTCGTGCCGCTCGCCTTAATGCTGGCGCCGCTGATGAAGGATTACTGGCGTAGCAGCAATCTGCAATTTGCAGGAGAGCAGGGATGGCTGTGTGCTGCGCTCTTGCTAAACGAATGTGGCAGGGTTAATCCAGACCGCGGGTCAGGTCAGCAAAGGCCTTCCCCAGGCGCTCAGTGAATATCGAGAGGGGAGCTGGTTCGTCTGGGACAGGAGTGAAACCAGGTGGAGGAGAGGCACTGAGAGTCAGGGAGACCTTGCAAGGTTGACTTACGGCATGGAGAGCCTTCTGAAGGGAGCTTCTGGAAGCCTCCTAATACGCGTTGAGGGGGAAAGCCTCGTTTAGTGCCAGCAGCTGGGCTTGTGCATGACACACAGGCCCTATTTGTCCCTTTCAGAGAACCCGGCTTTGAGGTTTTTAAAAGTTTTGTAACAGCTGTGGTTGAAAAGGGAGTTTCAAAATCTGACGGGTGTAAATGGCTGCGGTGCCTCCTGCCGCACACGCTTGCCTTGGGAAGGGGCTGCGGGGAGCGTAAGGGGCTGCTCGTCGGTTCTGTGCGGAGAGCAGAGCCGTCGGCAGGGGCGCAAGGCACTGTGTGCGTGCGGGGTGGGCACTGGGATCGCTCAGGCTGGCGTCCTCCGACCCCCGGAGCGGTTGGGTGAGGAGAGGGCACATCACCATCCCCCTGCCTGGGTGCAGCCCAGAGGTCTGGAAACCTCCTTTTATCCAAGGGGGCTCGAGTTATTGGAGAGCTGTTGGTACAAAACTGATGGCAAAGCTGCTCTCCACCATCTTGTCGCAAAGGTGGAAATTCTCAGCCCGCCGGGGAAGTTGAGTTGATGTCCGACTTGCTTCCATTTCTCACGTCTCCTGTGGTACATGGGTTGCAGTCTGCTCATCATTTCTGGCTTAGCGCCTGGGCGAAAGCCTCCAGTGCGTTCTTCAGGGTTGAATTCCTCTGCTTTAGGGAGCTGACATGATTTAACAAGTATTTATGCTCTTGTTCAACAGTTGTCTCACTGCACCCAGAGCTGGCGATAGCAAAGTGGAGATCCTGGCCCCGGCCAGTGGTGCTGAGTCTGCTGGATGCTGGCGGCACCTGTCAGGCCATCTGCAAAAAGCACTGGGAGAGCGTTGATTGCGACAGACGAAGAACGGTATTGCAGCTCTTCCCTCTTTGCAGTGATAACTTTGAAGTGACTTTTGAAGGGTTGCTGGAAGCAATTTTGTCAGTGAGCAGATTAGAGATAAGAGAAGAATTCCACCCCGTGGGGCACAAGCAGTTCAATCCATACCAACGTGATGGAGAGGGAAATCGGAGAGAGCTTATCAGCTTGAGGAAAAATCAAATGTAAACATCATCCCCAGCATGATTATGGTTCACAGCTTAGTTGGATGTCACATGCCTCTTTCCCGTGAAATGGTGCTAGCGAAGATGATGACAGAGGGAGTCAGCCAGGCAAAAACAGACAGAAAAACACCCTGCGCCTTGAACTTTTACAGACCCTGCAGTTACTTCGCAGTCAATAAGTCACAGCTCAGCTGCAGGGAAGGAGGAAGGCAATGAAAATAGAATTCAGGCTGCTCTGGCAAATTAGTTGTCCTTTATGATGCGAATCGGCTGGAAACAAATACGGAAGCTGGGATTATGGAGCCCAGGAGCTGCAAAGGGCGGTATTTGTACGGCAGGGAGACCTGGGCACTGCCCCGAGGATGCTGGGCCTGTCTGTATCGGTGTCAGGACAGGCTGCAGAACGAATCCCCGAGAACCCAGGAAGAAGAATGATTAATCTAATTTTCATTAACTAGCTTTTGGCATTGACCTGTATATAATAGCCCGTTACGCCGCTGCTGGGTCTGCGGCTGGCAATTTTTTGCCGTGTCCCACTTGGGAAGCTCGCCGGGCCTCTCCAGAAGGGCTCCTCAGGGAATGACCTGAGTGGATTTAGTATGAGCAGTGCATAATTTGGGAACAATTATTGAAGTGATTCACTGACATGACCATTATGGGCTCTCGCCAGATGCACAATCTTATTAAATATGATTTTCCCATATAAGGTGGTCACAGCCTGAAAAGCAGCAGCAGGCATTCCAGTGCTTGCTTTTTTCATGAACGTGTCTTTCAATCTCAGCTGGTCAAGTCCAGAAATAGGTCTGTCACGGCCGTGCGATACCCTTACAGAGGCTCGGAGAGCCCTTCTCATCGCACACTGCTTACATCTTTGTGGCATTTGATTATTCCCATCCATCTTTTCAGTCTGCCAAGCGCATTCCTGTAGACCAGGATTAATCTATAGAGGCCTGGCAGGTGCCTTGCTCCTGACGTGGATGCGGCACCCACGTGCTCTCTGGGACCTCACCAGCACAGGATCGGTTCCCATCTGCGCGTATGGGAACTGCCGGCGTTACGTGGATATCGGTACCCTACAGCTCGCCAGTCAGAAAATGCTGCCCCTTTCGCACCACAGCAGGGAATGTCAGCAGCAGAGCTGCAGGGCAAAATGTTTGCTAGCTCCCAGTGCAGGGAGGCTTTGGCCATGTTTGGGTGGGAGTGACCCCCGGCAGGCTGGTTTGCACGCTGCGCTCCCAACGGCAGCGCGGGGACAGAGCTACCGGTCATGTTGCTCGTGGGAGATGCTCCCTCTCGCAGCCTGGCTGCGGGAAAGCGGGGGCCAAAGCGGGTCTTGCCCTCCCCGGATGGTCTGATCCCATGGATGTGCCCTCCCTGATCTCGCCCGGAGCCTGTGCCGCTGGGGGAGCGGCCCGGGGGTTGGCTGTTGGAGCAGGCTGCCGGTTTTGAGGCGTGCTCTCTAGACCCTGCAGAGTTTAGAGCGGGGGCCTGGGGACCTCCTTTTCTCCAAGATGGATGTGTGGGGAGAGGGGTGGCTCTGTATGTTTGGCATCCTAAATAGGAGCAGAACAGTAGAAGGCGGCCTAGGTGGGGGGGGTTGTTTCCCACTAAGTCTTTGCCTAACCAAAATTTTTGATAGTCCCCTTTAAATTGGAGTTGTTTAATAACGCAGTTGGCAGCGTCACTTTTCTTCAGCTGTCTCCTGAGCTGTTTCCCTCTAGGCCTGCAAGCTGGGTCATCTCGTGAATGTGCCCAAGAACAGAATTTCTTAGTCGTGTCGGACTGGCCGTCTGTGGTCACGTCTGTGGGGCCGGGCAGAAGCTATTTTTACAGCATTATGCAGGTGCAAAGCCGTAATTGTTTGGTGTGGGTCCCCAGTAAGTAGCTACTGTCCGGGCGATACCTCTGTGCGGTATTTTGCCACTTCTAAATCCATCTGTGGCTGCTGCAGACACTCGAAGGAGCACAACATACTGGGATTTTCTCTAAGTCTTTGGCAAAGCAGAACTCCTGGCGCAAGCGCCCTCTCTGCGTTTGCTGCCTATTGATGGTGTCCTGCTCTGCGTTTGTCCAACAAACAAGTGCAGCCGCTTGTGTTTTCCTCTAACGGGAAGGATGCTGTGATGAAAACGCACGCGGTGCTGAGCCGCTGCCCGCCCGGGGCTGCCCATCCCTTCTGCTGCATGAATGCGCTCGCAGCAATGAAACGATGGGAGCGCAGCGGCGGGGTAAATCGAGGCACTGGGCACAGAAGGCCAGTTAACGCTGAAATGAAACAGAAACGCAGGGAAGAAGAGGGTGAAAGAAACCCAACCTGGCGGCCTGGGGGAGGTGGGGTTTGTCCTGACCCTCATCGGCAGCGACCTCCTCAGCAGAGCAGCCCGGCGTTGCTCGCCTACCCACCCGGGGAGCAGTGTGCCAACAGGAAAAGCATCTGCTGCCTTTCCCAGGCTCTCCGCCTCCCCGCCGGATAACCAGCGGACTGAGTCCCTGGAAGGGGAGCCTGGCCTCTCCAAGCAGCCCTAAAAGAGCCGCTGATCATAAGGGAATGTCAGGGTCTTTCCTTCTCTGGCCTACCCAAGCAGCCTGGCACTTGGTTGAGTTTTTCAGTGTTGCCAGAAGCTGAGTTAACCTCAAGACTTCTTGGGAAACGTTTTCTGTAATTAAAAAGGCGAAAGTGATTAGAGCAGCTTTCCTGTCGCTTCGTCTCTTCTCACCCACATATTTAAGCAGAAAATGCTGTCAACCCCTAATTAGGTGTCGTCTTCTTCCATCGTGTGTTCTTGTGGCTTCCCCAGCTTACGTGTGGGTTTCTGCGCTGGCTTGCGGTGAATAACCCCGGCTGAGTCAGCGTGCGCTGCGGCGGTGAGGAAATCTGGAGCCTTCGAAGACATTCGGTTGCCCCGGTGTTCACAGCCCGTCCGATGCCGCTGGCCACTGCTAACCGTGACACATTTCACCACCTCGCAGCTCCGGGGAGAGGCTGCCGCTCTTTCACCGTAGGAGTGAGCCCCTTTGCTTCTCCTGCAGCTTTCTTTGAATACAGCAAAACCACCACTCTTCCCCCATGCTGTTTAAAAAAAATAGAAATGTGTACAACTAGAGAGCATGTAATGGGAAGGGTTCTTTTAAATAGTTACTGTAACGCAGAAACAGGCTGGAATAATTGAAATTTGAAGAGCAGCAGCATTATTTTATAGCGTGGAGCCTGCACATTCTGTACAGTCGCATCTCTGGCAGGCGGCTGGGACGGGAGCTGTCCCTCCGCATAATTGCGGGGCTTCGCAGCCATTACATCTGGAGTTGCAGAAACGAACCTCGCA